ATATATTTTTGAAAGCATTCTTACTTTACAGCATTTTTTTCACACCTAAAACTTTTGCACAGTACTGTATGTAGCTCAGGCTGAACCATTGAGTCCTTGGTGCTCTCTAAGCTTGGTTGTTTGCTTGCAGACATTTCATTACTCAACCAGGTAACATCATCAGTGCAAGTAAGCGTGGGGTTTGCTCCCTGTTTATATATAGTAGCTTGCCCTGCCAGTTTTGGTGATGCAAATTTAAATTAAATTAAATTGCGGGGCACTTGGCAATTGGTTGTAACTGTGAACGGGTTGCCAAGTGCCCAGATCATGATCATGTGACCGTGGGAGTGCTGGGACAGCCAGAACACCAAGGAACTGTCGTAACCAGTATTTGTTCAGTGCTGCTATAACCTGGAATGGTTGCTGACTGAATGATTGTAGGTCGAGAGCTACCTGTCTGTCTGTCAGAGGTGTGCTGATCAATTCACTGAGAAATATATGAATGGGAAATTCAATGCATGTTTGTGGATTTAGAGAAAGCATGTGATAAAATGAATAGGCTTGAATTATAGAGTATTTTGCACAAATATGGAGTAGATAACTGGTTTCTGCATGCGATAAGAGCAGCATATGCTTGATATAAACCATGGGTGATATTAACTGGAATGCACAGCAAAATGCTCCAAATGTTGAGTACAGAGTACGACAAGGATGCGAGATAACTGTTTAACCCATTTATGGGTAAATGTATAAGATACATTTGTGATGACATTAGCAGCATGTTGATTGGGCATGTGAATGTGCTTTTCTATGTAGATGAGGCTGTAATTGGCTGAAATCCTAAATGATTTACAATGAACAATAGATCACAGAAAGCAACGAATCATATGGTTTTGAAAGTTACTGTATCAAAGACCAAGGTAGTGATGTTTGACAGATAAAAGAGAGTGAACAACTGCAAATTATACACCAAAGGTGAAATATTAAAGCATCTTAGTAAATAAAGTTGTGCATCTTGGCAGAAAAATGAACAGGGGATATTTTAAGGTGTGCAAATGCTGATGGAAAGGACAATATTCATTTGCTTATTAGTTCAGGGTTTTTTTGCACTTTGTAAAATGTAGCTTACTCCAAAATGGAATAGAATGATAACTATTTTCATGATTTTTGTTTTTGCTCTTTTTGTTTTTAAGGCTGGAAACAATTGTTACTTGCTACAGGTATCAAAGGAAGGGACTTTTCACAAGTCTCACTTAACTCAGAACCCAAAATCCAGATGACTGGGCAGCAGACAACTTACCCATACTGTGGTGCTCCTGTTTTAATATCACCAATAGTGACCTGAACATCATCTTCATCATCATCACTATCACTGTCACTGTCATCTTCAGCCTCTGTCACTTTCTACAACAAAAAGGCTATAATTAGGAATTACATATAATTTAATTAACATGCAAGTGCCAACTATCTTTCTTGATACTATTTGAAAAGGCAACTGTATTATTGTAAATTTACAGCATTTCAAAATATGGTGTGTATAAATCAAAGTTGTAAAGAGTGGTAAACACAAAACATACCCACTCAAAGAATAAAGGAGGCCATAAGTCTCCACCATTAGAATCAATGATTAATTTTCAATGGCTTACAATTCAGTGGAAACAAATTTGTATTGTATATCCTGACTCATCATGAAATTAGCAAACCAAAACAAGAGGCAAAGTTTGAGCGTAAGTTCAAAATACATAAAAATATTAATAAGCATCAACTCAAAATGGTATCAGCATCATTAAGTTAATTGGTTTTCCTACCATGTACCCAAATAAAACCATTAGATGAATTATTCACAGATAATCTTTTCAATACTGGTGATTATTTAAGTCTTTCAATTTAATTCTAATGGTTGATAGAAAAAAGAAATGTCTATTTGCAACAAGCACAACACATCTGCAAAAAACAAAAAAGATCAACTACAGGGTCCCGTCCCCCCACCCCCCCCCGAGTCAAACTTGACTCCTTGCTGCTACATGGACAAGTCCATGTCGTTTTCAGGCAGCATTTTCCAAAGTGGCTTCTTCTTAGGCTGACAGGGAATTGGCCTAAACTCATCCAGCTGTCTCGTGCGTCTAAGGCAGGACTAGAACTCAGATTTTTTGCTTTTAATCCAGCACCTTAACCACTAGACCAAACTGGCTCTCACTTGTCAGGATACAAATGTGCAAAATACAGCCCTAGTAAGCATTTTTTTAAAACAAAAAAACTAAAAGCAGCATTGGAAGAGATTTATTTGCACGCAGAAATGGAAAATGGGAAGAGATTGCTTAGCTGTTTCTCTGCTTCAGATCCTCAAGAGATCTGAAACACAAGTAGATATGTACAGGTGTTTAAAAGTTTGTGAACACTTTTGTATTTCCAATATTTCTGCATAAATATGACCTAAAACATGATCTGTTCTACACACAAGTCCTAAAACTAGATAAAGAGAACCAAGTTAAACAAATGAGTCAAAAACATTATACTTGTTCATATAAGGATATTGAGGGAAATTATCCATAGCTACATATTTGTGTGTGGCAAAATTATGTGAACCTCTATGATTATCAGTACATTTGAATGAGAAATTAGAGTCGGGTGTTTCAATCAATGGGATGAGAATCAGATGTGAGTATGGGAGGTCCTGCCTTACTGAAAGAATGGAATCCTTGGGTATTCACTATCAAAGTCTGATCTTCACAACACAGGTATGTGGAAGTATTTTATGGCTTGAACAAAAATTTCTGAGGACAGTTGTTGTTCACCAGGCTAGAAAAGGTTATGAAACTATTTCCAAAGAATTTGGACTCCACCAGTCTGCTGTCAGGTGCATCATGTACAAATGGAGCCAACTGAACACCACTGTACCCTCCCCCAGCGTGGCTGACCAACAAGATCACACCAAGAGCAAGGCGTGTAATACTTCAGGAAGTTTCAAAGAACCCCAGGGTAATGTCTAAGGAACTAAAGGCCTCTCTTACATTGGCAAATGTCAGCGTTCATGAGATCACCATCAAAGGAACACTGAACAACAATGGTGTGCGTGGCAGGGTTGCAAGGAGAAAGCCACTACTCTTCAAAAAGAACATTCTTGACCATCTACAGTTTGCGAAAGACCACATAGATAAGCCAGAAGGCTACTGGAACAATCTTCTGTGGATGGATGAGACCAAAATGGAATTTTTGGGTTTGAATGAAAAGGGCTACGTTTGGAAAAGGGCAAACACTGTATTCCAACAAAAGAACCTTATCTCATCTGTGAAACATGGTGGTGGTGATATCATAGTTTGGGCCTGCTTTACTGCCTCTGGACCAGGACAGCTTGCCATCATTGGTGGAACTAGGAATTCTGAATTGTACTAGCAAATTCTACAGGAAAGGGACAAGGTATCTGTGAACTGAAGTTCAAGAGAAAGCGAGTCATGCAGCAAGACAATGACCCAAAACACACAAGTCATACAACCAAATAATGGTTAAAAAAGAAAATTAATGTTTTGCAATGGCCATGTCAAAGTCCTGACCTTAATTCTATAGAAATGTTGTGGAAGGACGTGAAGCAGGCAGTTCATGAGAGGAAGCCCCCCAACATCCCTGAGTTGAAGCTGTTCTGTAAGGAGGAGTGGGCTAACATTCCTCCAAGCTGATGTGCAGGACTGATTAACAGCTATCAAAAACATTTGTTATTGTTGCCCAAGGAGGGCATACCAGTTACTGAAAGCAAAGGTTCATATACTTTTGCCACACACAAACCTGCAGTTTTGACTCATTTTCCTCAACAGAGAAATGAACAAGTATAACGTTTGTGACTCATTTGTTTAATTGGGTTCTCTTCGTCTAGAACTACTTCTGTGGAGAAGAGATCCCATTTTAGGTCATATTTATGCAGAAATATTGAAAATTCAAAAGGATTCACAAACATCTAAGCACCGCTGTACTTAGAACACTACTGGCAGGGCACACCAAGCGAACAGCAAGTTGCCAGCAACCTAGAACAGATCGCAGCTACTGGGGAAAGTGCTGTACTCTTTTCCAGCACGTTATTTAATCACTCAGGATTAGCCTTGCAAAGCTATCCTCATATTCTCAAGGTTGAGGACAAGTTCAATATCATTAACATTTGCATTTTGGAATTAATTTACCAGATAGTTATGTCTCATAAAATAATAATTTAATCATAAATTATAGGAACGTGCAAAATATTCCATTTTGGGGACAAAATGTTCCAGGGAATGCCAACTAACTAACTAACTAAGTTTCTTCTCTGTACTATGCCAATCTAGGAATGGCCTAGAAGTTTTCTGAACTTCCTTTCAAACCTGGAAGTGATGCAATAGTGTTGCAGGCATAGAAGAAAATCAGAATGTTCCCCAAAATCTTCTCTTTCCAAAACAGACACACCCCTAACAAATCAGCACACTCATTGGTCCTCAGAAGTGGCTCGCTCAAAATCAAAGAATGTTATAAAACAAGCACTTCAGAAATCTACATAAGTAATACCATTTTCACTACACCATTTTCAGCTGCCACTTCTTCTTCATTTCCCGTTGGGGGTGGAACACTTAAAAATAAAATAAAAGGCATTAGCTGGTTGACAGGCACTGGTATTGGTTTAAAAAATAAATGTAATTTAAATTTATTTAATAAAAAATACTAATGTTTTATCTGAATTATGGCTTTGTTAGGAAAAAACCAATATTTTTCTTCAGCAAAACCTTTATTTCTATGAAATAAGGATACATCCAGTAATTAAGCAGAGCAACAATACTTTGTTTCATTTAATTTAATGTGATTTCTCAGTGATATTATACATTATTATTTGTTGCACTGTCTTTCGTTATCCCCATTATGAAAGTAAAGTAACCAGGATAAAAAGCTTGCAGAGCATATATTTATTTTGTGAAGAGATATACAAACCAGTGGTATTTTATACACTATATATAATTTACCTAAGCTTAGAAATTATTTAGTTTTAACATACACAGAAAATCATAGCACATGGTACTGAGATATTTAGAAGATAGCCGTAAACAAGGTCCTGGATAAAATCTATGTGGTCACTAAGAGTTGATGGCACATATTCAATCAATCATAAATAGGGTACTCTACTCCCAATGCTGGAGTAGAATAGTATTTTAATCACATTGATTTATCTTATTACAAAAGTAAATCAGAAAAAAGTTCATTAAAGTTCTTCACTTTTTTCAGCCCATAAGGATCCAATTCAGCTAGGATTTGAAATAAAATGAGCATAGATGACATTACCTGGTGCAGTAATTAAGCATTTTCAGCTGAATAACATAGCTCTAACAACAAAACATGTCATCACTGAGCTACGCATGTGCTGTACTATTGCAACTACATATAACTGTGAAATTATTTAAACTACTTCCCCAAAAATGTTCTCGAGAAGAAAGTACTATTACAAAGTGGTATCCTAGAACAGCACTATAATGATGCACAATAAACTCTCCTTTCAAAGTCTATTAAAATCAGGTTCCTTCCTTTCATAATTGAAATTGTAATGATCTATAAAATCCATTGTACCAGGTTTCTTGTATTATATATCTATTTTGTAATAGATTTTCTATCTATTTACAAAAAACTCTGCAGAAACAGTTAACACAGAATCAGGAATATCTTTAAAACAAGAAACTTCCAAAGGACATTATTATAATCCAGCAACACCAATTCACACCCCAAAAGCTCATGAATATGCAGGTTTTTCTGGACAGAATGAAAGAATTAAACTATGAAAACTAAAACATATTTTACATTGCATATGCATTGCCCCCTGCAAATATTTTTGAACAAACTATTTAATAATTCCTCATATATGATACAATATATTTTGATGACTGTGAGCTCATGGTCAACATTCCTGAATGCTGTCTGAATTCAAAGAGTTTAATGACAGAAAACAAGCTGAGGTTCAGACAGAAGTATTAGGTGCCAGTAGAAACGTTTTAGTGAGACTCAACTTGATCCTACATTTATATCAGACTCACAGTCATGAGTGCAGTTATGCTATCCCTGGATTGTCTTGGACAAAGAATAAAGTTTGTACAGTCACATTCAGTATTCCAATTACACTAACTACAAGTACATATTAAGTAACTTCAACTTTCATTAAGTAAATGAAAGCATTATTGGATGTTGACCTTCCATAGCCCAATACAAAATGTTGATCTTATCTTTTAATGACCTGGACAATTCATATCCTGAATATCTGCCTTATTTGGATCTTTAGGAAATCCTTATGGAGACACCTTCATGTGCATAGGGCCACTGAAAACAGATTTCGCCTTTGTAACTCCAAAACTGATATTTGCTTTAGGAAGGCTGACTGGATGCCGCTCTCTCCTCTTTCAGGAAGGGTGTTCAGACGTTTCTCTTATAGTTTTACATTATTTTAGTGTATTTAAAGGCTGATTTAACTTATAGTTTTAATATTGCAAAATTTTAAAATTATTTTTCATTCCTTATCAACTGCTTACATGTTTTCAGAAAAACAGTAAAAAAGCACTTTAAAATAAACCCTAAAGACAAGTGCAGAAAACTGGGTTCAGTTGCTTCCAGACATTCAATTCAAAACTGGTCAATAGGAATAAGACTGACTCTATCAACCTCACAACTAATTGTTACAAAAATACTCACCTAACAGGTGTTTCCTCTGGTCTTTCTTCTTCATTCTCATCTTCAAGAAATGACAAAATCAAATCAAAATTATATCTCAGTACAGTGTTATCAACAGGAATCATTTAACATTTTGTAGAAAATATGTCCATTTTCATGCTAATTCTACATAGTCTTTGCGCAGTTATAGTACACCCTCAACTTCATGGCTCCTCCTTATATTCCAAAAGCAGGACAAAAATCCTTATTGTTAATCCTTCAAAGGAAGTTTTCCTGGACATCTTTCATTTGAACATGTAGTTACTATCAGGAAACATCCTTTGCTGCTAATTTAGAATCTGGGCTGCATATACTGACGTATACTTAATTGCTCTATCTAAACACTATACAACTTAATACAACCTATATTCTTCTTTTCATAACCTTCTCTTTAGCTTCACGAATTATACGTTTCCCTTTCATCTTAACCCAACACATCCTCCCATACTAGGTTTGCAACATCCCTAACAAAAAAGACAAATTCACAAAAGACTCAATAAACAAATATATTTAGAGTGGGGTGGTCTCCTAGGCAAACACTGAGACAACCCAGACAGGTGAGGAGCTTCCCAATCTCCCCCTTACCAAAAAACAACAACACGGGATTACTTAATTTCTGGACCGGTCCAAGCGTTTGCTCACCTCCTCAAAAGCAGGGACTATATTGGACAATTGTAAATAATGGGGGAAGGGGGGTGTCAGAAATTTACCCGCCGTTCTCTTCCAAGGACATGACGCCTCAAAAAGGCCGTTTCCTAAAACGCGAACTGCCTAATAGGGGTCCAGGCCCGTCCCCCTTGGGGAGGGTCGCCGCTTTCAAGGGGGCTCCATTCACACAGCTCAAGGGTTGCGCTCTACCAAAGGTGGCCGCAGGGAAGGGAAGCGAGCGAAACCTTCCCCCGACAGGGAAAGGCGGACTGAGAGGGGAGGAAGCTAATCGAGTCGCCGGCTCCGCGGCCTGCTGGGTGCCCAGAGGCCTCTCTGGAGAAGTGGGGCTTGGCAGAAGCAGGCCCCGGCCGGGTCTTGCTCCCAGCAGGCCGCCGCCGCGCCTCTCCAGCCGAGGCCTGGTCCGATTCTCCAACCGGTCTGGCATCAATCGCTCCGTGAGATGGGGGCGACACACACCGCGCCACACACACACACA